TCAGCAGGCGGACTCTCAACCACTGCGCCACCAGGGAAACCCAAAAAAGTGGATTTTGATAATTATTCTTATGGACTGTACAGAATTTCCTTTAATAAATATGCTCCATAACTTCTTTAAACAATTTCACATTGATATGTTTTTCAGGTGGCTTCCATGTTTTCAGCATTATAAAGAACAATTACATCAACTATAAATGAAACCTTAAGCACTGTTAGTAAATATTCTTTTAAATCTTTGTTTTAAATCTTAAACATTCATTTAAATCTTTTCCAACTCTTAGATTACAGAGATGATCCTTTAAATTTCAGAATTTTGTATTTCACAGTTAATCTACCTGGGATTGTTTTTTTGGGTCTAGACTATCCTCTTTAAGTTGGCATTTAAAATCATTTTATCTAAATGCTATAACTTTGAGTCTTTACACATTACAAATTGTCTGTCTTTACTTCATACCCTGACAACAGTTTGAGCATTTTGGTGTCATATCCTTTTCCCTCAGAGCTCTATAAATATTGTTACAATATTTTGTGGCATTTAGTGTTTTGGATGAAAAGTCCAAAGAGAGTTAATTTCTTTTCCTATGAAGGTTATCCAGCTTTTCTGCCTGTATGCATTACTATACTATTCATTGCAAACTAAAAATTTCATCAAGATAAGCGTACATTCTCTTTTTTTTAACCTTTTCCATCACTCAGTGTGCTGCTTCAATCTGAAACCCTAGTCTTTTACTCATTTTTTTTTCTATTTTTATTTCATCAATTCTCCATGTGACCCGAGTCTCTCTGGTTTGCTTTATTATAGTTACTGCATCTCCTAGATCACTCCTCCATTGTTTTCCATTATTCCATCTCTCCTTTTGCTTTCCAATATCTTAAAATATTGGAAATATCTTAAATGTGTTTTCAAATTCAGTAAATTTTCTTTTAAGTTGCACTCATTCTACTAATATTAAATTTGGCAATCTCTTTATTCTTCTATTTCCAGTTTTAAAAATCATTTTTCATCCAAAATATTTTTGTTCACAGATTGCTTTTATTTTCACAATCAACTGCTCTCAACAGATCAACCAATATCCTCTCAAATCATATTAAAATTCTGAATTAATTTTTTATTTAAATTTGTTCCTGTTTTCTGCAACTTTGAATGTTCAGCCTGGTACTGAGTTTTTAAGTAGCCCTTTCTCTTCACACATCTGCTAAGTTTTCATCAGCTACTTATTTCACTAGTTATTGATATTTATAAATGACAACTTAAGCCAAAATCCTAGAACTTACTTCCTGTGACCTAGAGTTCTCTAACCCCAAGATGCCTTAGCTGTAAAAAAGGTAATGGATAGTATCTTCCTCAAAACTGCTGGTAGGATTAAAAACAGATAAAAGCAACTGACTCATAGCAGGCATTCAGAAAATTTACCTCTCTTAGTCCTTATCCCTACTTCTTATTGTCATAGATAGGTTCAACCATCTAGCAAATCAGAAGTTATTAAAATACGACCAAATCTACTTTTCATCTTTGTCTTCTGCCAAAACGATTATTAGTTACATATCTCACTGCATATTTATGAAGTGACTGAAATTTTTAATGTATTTAACGGATAAGTGATGTGTCTACATTTCTAAATATTTTTCCACTTAAAAGACACACACTGGGGGCTTCCCTGGTGGCGCAGTGCTTGAGAGTCCGCCTGCCGATGCAGGAGACGCGGGTTCGTGCCCCGTTTCGGGAAGATCCCACATGCCGCGGAGCGGCTGGGCCCGTGAGCCATGGCCACGGAGCCTGCGCGTCCGGAGCCTGTGCTCCGCAAAAGGGGTAGGCCACAACAGTGAGAAGCCCGCATAACGCAAGGAAAAAAAAAAAAAAAAAAAAAGACACACACTGATCAATAATTGGTAGATAGTATCAAAAATTACTTAAAAAACCATTTTCAAGATAAGATGATAGAGAAGTTCTTGACACAGACTATATTTTCACATCATTGCCTGTGACAGAAACTAGCTAGGTGTTTACTACACTTTTGTCCTGGCCATACTGTTGAACCACACTGTCGAGACTGTTTTGAAGTTAGATGTGGCCAAATGACCGAGCTCTGGCCAAAAAGAATGTGAGTGAAAGTGATGTACAACACTTCCAGGCCTAACTAATAAGACTCTCATACTCCAGGTAATTGTAAACTATGTAACTAAATAAGTGCAATACTCTAATTTTTTTCTTCTTTGGTGTCCTCAAAAACCTAAGAAAGTAAAGCCATGGTCAGAAGGAGCCTAAGTACTGAAGCTGCATGTATAGAAGAGTCACCTATTAGTCAGAAACACCCACTTCTTACTTGAGTGAGAAATAAACATCTGTTGTGTTAAATTCACATTCTGGGATTAAGCTATTATAACAACCAGGATTATGCCAGTACACTCACTTAAGTGCAGAATTTCTTCAAATACCTTAAAAAATATATGTAGTTGGAAAACATAGTTGTGTCACAGAGTTTGCAAGTAACTTCCAACAGAATGGGCCAAAATTGATTTTGTGCATTCTGAAGTCAACAAGATCTTTCAACATTTTTTTTTAAGTCAAATGATTATCCTTTAGTGGCAAAGAGCCCACTTCCTATTTGTGGCACACAGCTCAATTATCTACTTCTATCACTTTTAGAGCCTTTTTCTCTCTCTCCCCAAAACTTTTTTTTTTTTTTTTGAATAGCTTTTGACATACTTCACGTCTCAGCTTAAAGCTTTCCATCAGGCTCTCTCTCACAATAAATGCCTAAGAAAACTGCCAATTTTCACAGAGAAGTGTGAGTCTTAATTTGTCTGTGATTATCTCTGTCTACTCAATATGATAATCATGTAAAACCCAGGAGTTTGTTTACCTGACTGTCACCTCAGTTGATTTACTGGCATTGGTTGCAACATTCCATTGAATTTTAACTGAAATTCCAATCCTTAAATTGTTGAATGTATTCAGTTTATAGTATGATCCACAATGTAACTAAAAGTTGATGATCTGACCCACTCTAGGCAATGTAAACTGCACGACTATAGAAATGCGATACCCAATTCAGTGTTTTCTTTGTACCTTTAATGTACTGTTTTCCAGATCCTTCTGCTTCTATTATTAAATTAATGGTGCATCTTAAAGTCAATATCTTATAATACAGAAATATAGTAGTTAAATCAATGTGAGTAATTATTCATGCTCAATATTCATCAAAGGATAAGTGAGTTACTAACAAAGCAGTAAGAGAAGACTACATGAAAACGAACAGGATGAAACTAACCCTTCATCTAAATAGTTACAGAAACTCTATGAAGAGATTAAGTTTTGAAGATTTTATAAATATTTAGAAAGGATTAGAAAATGAAAAGGAGTATTTCTGGTATGCTGGCGGTTTTTTGGGAAATGAATGGAATTGAGGGCAAGTTATATAATTGGTTAGTCAAAAGAATAAAGAGCAAGTGGGGTAAGTCATATCACGGTATAGTTCAACTTCTTTCATATCCCTTTATTCAATCTTAGGCACAAAGGAGAGAATCAAGTCAACTGTACAGAGTCCCTTATTACAATACAAAGCTCTTTGCAGAGTAGGTGCTGTAGGGAGATAGAACAGTGAACCATGAAGACTGCAATCTTCAAGGAGCTTAAATTTAATTGAGGTTGTAAAACATATGTGCCACAGCTAAAATATAATGCAAATAGCAATTAGTATTAAGTGAGAGGTATAAATAAAATCTGATATATAAAGGGAACAGAAATTATGTTCAGTAAGGAGAAATGGGAAAACTTAATGGAAAGACAGAATTTGAGCTAGACATTGACGGACTGAAGGTGATGAGTGTAGGAAGAAGGCTGTACGAAAATATGGACAAGAGTGGAAAGATCAAAGTATGAATGCTATTCTAAAAAATCTGAATTTCAGTCAACAGAATGGAAAACTACTAAATTTTTCAATGGTATAATAAATTAATTGTAATTGTTATTTTAAGATTTCTCTCACAACATCTGTAAAGTGAAGGGTTAGGGCAGCTGAATGAAAATGTTTATATGTGTGGCAGAATGGACACTAGATAAACAGAGTTAGTAGGATAATATAATAAACTAGGTAAAAAGTAAATGGAATCTAGAATAGGGTTAAAGTCTCTAAAAACTAGAAGGAGACAACTATGAGTTTCATTATGGGTTCAAACAGACATTTGCCAACTGGTCAAATACTGGGAAGAGGTTTTTAGTTTAGCCTTTTTCTTAAATAATAAATTAGTGTATGTCCTTTAATAAAATTTAAATAGTCCACAGTGACATTAAATGAAAAGGTATATCCTGCCTTATTCTCAACCCCTCAATGTAATTTATTTCTATCTTTATTCTTTCAATTGACTACTACAATAATTCTAAATAATATATTCATACTGCTTCATACTATAAAGAATTTAATCTCTTGATCATGTACACAAGGAGACAAGAAGAATGTTCATTGTGCATAATCTGTAATAGCTAAAACCTGAAATCAACTTAAGCGTTCAACAAAAGTAGATAAATACATAAATACTAATATGAAAGAACTACAGCTACATATATCAATATAGATAAATGTAAAAAAAATGCTAGGTGAAAAAGTTACAGAAGAAAAGTTGTATCTATATTAAGATTAAATAGATGAAAGTTATACTATATATTGTAAGATAATACATATAATGGAAGTATAAACACACATGCATAGGTATCATAAACAACAAATTCAAGAGGGAAGGACCAGAAACATAGCTGTTTATTTCTTAAAAAATAAAAAGCTCTGAAGCATATACAGATGTGACACAGACCTTTGCTTTATTGTTCTCTATAGTTTTCTTTTAAATGTAAACTTTTCACACTTTTTTCTTAGAAGAAAAAAGTTTACATTAAATACTGAATGTATTAAAAGTATCTTTATGTAATCTACCAAGTAATTCTTTTGAATATCACTTCAGAAAAAGCTATTTCATTCTGGCACTATTTATCACCCTACTGACCTCTGCTGGTCCAGCAAGGGAGAGGATACTGCAGTCATCTTCCTGTCTTTCTTGCTAGTTGAAGATGATGACTTAGGGCTTGATTTTCGCTTTGGAGATTTGCTAGATTTTCTTAGAGAAGGTGATGGAGATAACTTTGATCTAACCACTTCTGGTGAAACCTTCCAAAAGAATTCAATAACTCAATTCAGAAACTCTTCCAATCATGGTTGTTATAATCAGACAACAAAGCACGTGTTTTTAAATTATACCAAACTTCAGATGAAGTATTAAGTGTTACGATAGCCACCACATATTAATATTAGTCTGGCTCCTGAACCTAGGCTGTTAACCAATACTAACTGCCCCAACATAACACTAATATCAATGAAGCAAACTAAAATTATGAAATTTCAAAATCTCCTCAGAAAAAATTATATTCAAATATATTGTATCTTTCTACTCTTTAAAAAAGAAACAAGTATTCTAGAAATAGCATGGGCCTAAAAACCAGATGTATATAGATTCAAGTCCCATTTTACATTAGCTGGTGACTGCAGGCAACAGAAACTCGGTTTTGTTTATCTATTCAATAACAAATATATGTCCTATTTATCTAATAGAGAAATGTGAAGATTAATTAACATATGTGAAGTATCGATATCCTAATACAACTTAAGATGTAGCAAGCAGCTAATGAGTTCTCTGATCAATACTCATTTTGATGTTAATTACTAACATATTTCAATAAATAGCATACCTCCTTTTTAATAATAATTTCTTCTCTTTTCTCCATGTTTTCTTGTTCCAGCTTCATTAATTCCCTCTGTATCTTCTGACGCTTCATTTCCAATGACAACTCATGAACATAATCATAATTAATATCTCCATTGTCAGAATCTTTAAAATAAAAATTCCATTACTTGTCGGAACTATTATAATTATGTATACCAAAAATTAGAGAAAAATTTTCAACTATTTTTTATACAAATTAAAATGGTAGATTCTTTAACAAGAACAACATACTTCAAAAAGATAAAAGAAATATACACTGTTTCTATAAAGAATTAAAATCAATATGGCTAATTTCTTTATGAAAACAAACATTTTTAAGGTTCCTGGGTTTTCTGGAAGTGATTTTGGGCTGTTTGGGTTTTTGGTTAGGAGATGGAATTTTTAAAAGATACAGTTAGGGCTTCCCTGGTGGCGCAGTGGTTGAGAGTCTGCCTGCCGATGCAGGGGACACGGGTTTGTGCCCCAGTCCGGGAAGATCCCACATGCCGCAGAGCGGCTGGGCCTGTGAGCCATGGCCGCTGAGCCTGCACGTCCAGAGCCTGTGCTCGGTAACGGGAGAGGCCACAACAGTGAGAGGCCCGCGTATCACAAAAAAAAAAAAAAAAGGTACAATTAAAACACTCAGCTATAAATTCTAAGCATTAAAGGCACCAAAGCCTTCAATATTTCATGCTGCATATGATATGATTCATTATCTTCTTCATTTTCTTAAAGACTCAGCATTAAATTAAGGTCACATTAGGTGTGCAATACTGTTTCCATAGTTTTGTTGCTTTTTAAAAAATTAATATCCTAACTAATTTGTATCTAAAAATAAAGTTAAGTAATTTTAATACTAATGTGTACATGAGCTAATTTCTGAAGGATCTATAACATTTCCATTATAAGTGATTTGTACTAGTTTCTTAGACTAGAACTGTCCATCTCTTCAATGGATCTGATAGCATGCATCTATTTCTATTCATCCTTTCCAAGGAAAAGAATCTGAGGGTTGGTTTGGGTGGGGGAAGAGTGGTGTGAAGAACTATTTCATTACAACATGTAGTCTTCAGAGGCTCCTGGCACTGCTACCTATTTGCTAATAATGCCAAAAGCCTGGAGGAGGAAATTTCACTGACTTCTATTCTAACATATGAACACACTGGGCTTGACCAATTATAAACTGAGGTGCCTTCTCAAGCTATACTTTTAGCTAAGATCATCACTTCTTAACCTGGGGTAGAGAAATAAAATGAAGAACTAAAAAACAATAAAGATAAGGAGTCCTACTTGATTGCTTAAAGCACAAAAAAAACGGACATCATTGGCATGTACAGGTAAATACATTAGAATGAAAACTATCCATTCATGCTTGGTGACTAAGAGGGTAATTATATATCTTATTATCTGTGTCACAAAACTTGATTACTCATCTTATATTGGTGTATGATGATAATTTCTCAGTAAATACATAACTGACTAAATCATGCTTTTCAGTCAGCAAGCAATTACTAAATATTTATGGGCATGAAGTTTTTACTACATAAAATAATTAAAGATACTGAAGTTAATTAAATGAATAGTGGCTAACTCTAGTTACGATTTTACACTCCGTTGAGACACTTTACATCAGTGAATAGTAGGGTTCGATGATCTGGTTTGTTGTGTTCTTAAATTATTAACAGATAAAATTTCATTACTAAATACTAACGGTAAAACAAAGGAAAGGGTAATTAACTGAGAAGAATGATTTACAGTGTTTCTGAAGGTATTATCAATAATGTTCTGCTCATCTAAAAACTGCTATCTGGGAATATCACCCATACAGAACACATGTAAAAAAATGACAAATTGGCTTTCAGTCTTTAATCCCTAACCACTCAACCAAGGGAGAAGTGTGGGTAGGGGGAGACCTGAGCCATTAAAATATATGTTGAAGTCAAGGTACTATAGCTAATATATTTTGCTTAGAGGGAAAGCTCTCAAGTCTTTACTCAGAAACTACTTATTCTAACTTTATGCATATCTGTTATAATCAAACACAAGATGTTTTCCCAATCTATAAGAGATGGGCTATGAAGTAGGCACAATGCAACTGATAGTCTGACAAAAGAAAAATCAGAAAGCACAAAACATTAGGAGAGGACTCAAAAATAGAGTCTGAGGAGGGGAGGGATAAATTGGGAGATTGGGACTGACATATACACACTATTATATATAAAATAGATAACTAATAACCTGCTGTATAGCACAGGGAACTCTACTCAGTACTCTGTAATGGCTTACATAGGAAAAGAATCCTAAATAAATAAAAAAGAGTGGATATAGGTATATGTATAACTGAATCACTTTGCTGTACACCTGAAACTAACACAACATTGTAAATCAACTATACTCCAATAAAATTTTTTTTAAAAAAAGGAGTCAAACCATTTAATAAGTTTAGAAAATGTCTCTCGTATCTTACAGCTTAAGGTCATCATTACAGTTACCTTACAATCATCTATATGAATCAGCTGTTATAAGTCATCAGGAAAATATTAAATATAATCAGAATGGCACATTTAACAGGCAGAGATTTTTTAAGAATATGTTAACAAAAATACATCCAGTACATAAGGTTGACATTCTTTATATATAAACAACTCTTACTAATTAAAGGAATGGGCAAAGGACATGAACAGATATAAACACAAAAAGAAACGCAAATGATATATAAATAAGCCTTTTTCATGTATTAAAGAGCCATTTTTTTCCCTAATTATAATATTTGGTACTGGCAAAGGCAAAGATAACAGGCATGTTCATTCTTTGGAGGTAGGTAGCAATGTAAACTAATATTTCTAGCCTGGAAAATAATTTGGCAGTATGGGTAAAAGCTTTAAGAACATTCATACCCTTTAACATGACAATTTTACTTCCAGCAATCTACTGTATGCAAGTAACCATATTCAACATATATAAAAATAAGCCTTTATATTTATACTCTTCTACACACACTGCCCCATAGGAAGATTTTTCCATGTCATACACAAAGGTAAAACACCTTCATTTTAACATCTGCAAAGCATTTCATGATATGAACATATCATAGTTTAACCATTTTCCTTCTGACATTTACTTTGTTTTCAATAGTTTGCTATCATAAACAAGACTTCAATGAACACTTTGATACCTACCTTAGTTCACAGGAGCAAGTATTTTTTTAGAACAAACTAGATTTGCTGGACAAAAGGTAAGTATGATTTTTATTTTTAATATTACCAAATTATACTCCAAAACAGCTTTACCAATGTAAACTTCCACTTGATAATACTAGTAGTTTTCATTTCTGCCAATCTGATGGGTGAAGAATGCTCTCTCTATTTCCACTGGCATTTCCCTGTAGTAAGGCTGAGCATTTATTGTCCATTTCTACTTCCTCTATGAATTTCATAAACAATTTTTGTTTCTTTTCCCTATTTTCCAACTGGACTATCTTTTTCTTATATATTTGTGGAACTTCATTATAGGTTTATACAGTGCTTTTATTATATGGTACACATTACACATGTCAAATACTTTCTTACAGTGATCTATTTTTAACAGATCACTTGTGTGTTTAGTTTCACAAAAAATTTTGAATCCTTATATAATCAAATCTTTTATAGCTTCTGGATTTTATGCTTTATTTTAGGAGGATGTACGTACCACCAAGATTGCCAAAATATGTTCATCCATTTTCTCCTCTACTGAAATGATACTTTTGCTTTTTATATTACTGCACTGGTCCTTATGGTAAACAAATATGATAAATTTAGGGAACCAAATAAAAACAAAGACTTGGGAGTGGGGAGCTGGAAACACAGAAAGCAGTCAGATAATGAAAAGTTTTGTAGGTACAAAAGAATTTGTACTTGATCCTCAAGGCAATGGGAAATCAGAGAATTTTTAATAGAGGAATGAAATGAACCAATTTATTCTTTTAAAAGCTCACTCTAACTCAGAGAATGAGAGAGGTATTTACAATACATATATCTGATGAAGATCTCATATTCAGAATATATAAAGAATACTCAATTTAAAAAAACAGTAACACAATAAAACAGTAGGCAAAAGTCGAGAATAGAATTTATAAAACAGGTTGTACAATGGCCAAAAATGTGAAAAAGTTCTCAATTTCATCACTCATTAGGGAAATGCACACTAAATCCACAAAAAGATACTACCACACACCTCCAGAATGGCTAAGATGAGAAAGGCAAAAAACAACAGAGAAAGGAGAATCATTTTTGACTTGACATTATCCACTAAAGATGAACATACTAAAACTCCATGGCCCAGCAATCCTACTCACAAGCATAAACTCAAGGGAAATGGGTACATGTTTACCAAAGATCTGATTAGGAACAGTAATAGCAACTTATTCATAACAGCCCAAAACTAGAAATTACTCAAATGTTTATCCACAGAATGAAGAAATTATGGTATATTCAGTGAAATACTATATACCAGTAAGAATTAATGAACTATAACCATACGCAATAATCTCACAGTCATACTGTAAGCAAAAGAAGCTAAGCAGGGACTTCCCTCGTGGTGCAGTGGTTAAGAATCCACTTGGCAATGCAGGGGACACGGGTTCGAGCCCTGGTCCGGGAAGATCCCACATGCAGCAGAGCAACTACGTGCGTGCGCCACAACTACTGAGCCTGAGCTCTAGAGTCCACGAGCCACAACTGCTGAAGCCCACGTGCCTGGAGCCTGTGCTCCGCAACAAGAGAAACCACCATGATGAGAAGCCCGCGTGCCGCAACGTAGTCCCCACTCGCCGCAACTAGAGAAAGCCCGCACACAGCAACAGAGATCCAACGCAGCCAAAAATTAAATAAATAAATTTATTAAAAAATAAAAAGAAGCTAAGCACAGAGAGTACATGCTATAGGTTCTATTTATATAGAGCTCAAAAACAGACAAAACTAATCCATGGTGGCAGAAAATCAGGACAGCAGTTATCTTTGGGAGATGGGGGCTGGGAGGCAGTAACTGGAAAGGGAGTACAAGAGGGCTTATGGGATACTAATAATTTTCTATTTATTGATGGGTGCTGGTTATACAAGGCTGTTCTGTTCATGAAAATTCAGTAAGTTGTACACATGAATCATGCACTCTTCTGAACATACTATTATACTTCAGTAAAAAAAATTTTTGTGAAGAGTATTCTGCCTTTAAGTGAAGAATGATTTAGGAGACAAGGCTAATCTCAAGACATGAGGTTAGAAGGTTATTTAATAAAAAATATTTATAGGCAACAAATATCTTAAGAACTAGAATATTAGTAGTAATTTAGAGAAACAGATGGTTCTGAAAGATATTCAGTAGATAGAAATGTTCAGAATTCCATAAATGTCTGGGTTGAGGGGAAAAAGTAGTATCAACAATGACTCTCAGAAAAGGGAATCCTCTTGCACTGTTGGTGGGAATGTAAATTGATACAGCCACTATGGAGAACAGTATGGAGGTTCCTTAAAAAACTAAAAATAGAATTACCATATGACCCAGCAATCCCACTACTGGGCATATACCTAGAGAAAACCATAATTCAAAAAGACACATGCACCCCAGTGTTCACTGCAGCACTATTTACAACAGCCAGGTCATGGAAGCAACCTAAATGACCATCAACAGATGAATGGATAAACAAAGACAGATGAATGGATAAACCATAATTCAAAAAGACACATGCACCCTAGTGTTCACTGCAGCACAATAGCCAGGTCATGGAAGCAACCTAAATGCCCATCGATAGATGAATGGATAAACATATATAAAATGGAATATTACTCAGCCATAAAAAGGAATGAAATTGGGTCATTTGTAGGAATGTGGATGGACCTAGAGACTGTCATACAGAGTGAAGTAAGTCAGAAAGAGAAAAACAAATATTAAAAAAATATATTAATGCTTATATGTGGATCTAGAAAAATGGTACAGATGAACCAGTTTGCAAGAAGAAATAGAGACGTAGATGTAGAGACAAATGTGTGGACACCAAGGGGGGAAAGCGGGGATGGGATGAATTGGGAGACTGGGATTGATATATACACACTAATATGTATAAAGTAGATAATTAAAAAAAAAAACAACGAAACAATGACTCTCAGGCTTTTGGGAAACCAGTAGGAAAGTGGTGCCCTTAAGATATGGGACTCAAGGGCTTCCCTGGTGGTGCAGCGGTTGAGAGTCCGCCTGCCGATGCAGGGGACACGGGTTCGTGCCCTGGTCTGGGAAGATCCCACATGCCGCGGAGCGGCTGGGCCCGTGAGCCATGGCCACTGGGCCTGCGCATCCGGAGCCTGTGCTCCGCAACGGGAGAGGCCACAACAGTGAGAGGCCCGCGTAACAAAAAAAAAAGATATGGGACTCAGATGGAGACATCCAGTTGGCAGATGCCTCAATTAAGAGCTCCAGATATTGGAGTCATTAATACATAGATGTTAATGATGCCCTGGGAGCATGATTTCATCTGGAGAGAAAAATGGAAAATGAGAAAAAAAGAAGTCTTGGTAAAGGGGAAACAACTAAAAATTTTAGAAGCTGCTTCTAGAGACAAGTGGTTCTCAAAGAGTAGTCTGAGGACTCCTAAGGATTCCCAAGACAATTTCTAGAGTTCCAGGAGATCAAAACTATTTCTATAATACTATATTATTTGCCTGGTTTACTCACTCTCTCTTGAGTATATAGTGGAGTTTTCCAGAAGTCACATGATATGTGATATCAGTAACAGATTGAATGCAGAAGCAGATATGAAAATCTGGAGGTCTTTCATTAAGCCAGTTAAGAGTTTACTTTAAGAAGTTAAAAAGATTTTCAGGGAGTTTCCTGGTGGTCTTGTGGTTAGGATTCGGCGCGTTCCTGCTGTGGCCCAGGTTTAATCCCTGGTTGGGGAACTGATCCCGCAAGCCTAGCGGTGTAGCCAAAAAACCCCCCAAAATGTGCAAAAACATATAAAACATTGCCACCTCCTCCAATTTCTATTTTTGCTTTGCAAAGCATAGCTATTTTCCATAAAAGTATATGTTAGGTTTACTGCTGTCATTGTTAAATAAATTAATAAATATTTTAAAATGTTCTCAGAACCAATTTCTAATATGGAGACTACTGAAACAGATAATCCACAAAACAAAAGTTCTTTGGGGTCTATAAAAGGAGTAAAAAAGTGTCCTGAGACCTAAAAGTTTGACAATTACTCATACAGATCAACTTCTTCTGAGTCTAGCTAAAATTGCTATTCACTTCAGACTGAAAATGCAGAAGGTAAATATATTAAATGAGCTCAGTCTAACTCCATGCTTCAATATTCCTTAAAACAGAAAAACCACAGAGATACACAACAATCAGAACCTCAAGAGAAAGAGTAAGGAACAGCAATGTATTTTGTATGTAAAACTACTATAAGAGACATTTACTCACCTTTTAAAAGAATTTCACATATAAAAGCCTCTTGTAATAAAATCACTTTCGTTTTTTAAAGATGATAGTCTGAGCGAAGCCTTGGGAATCAACATTTAAGGGATGGACAGCATACAAGGAGCCTCTATGTAAGACCAAAGGGCTTCAACAGGAGAACAGAAAACCTGACAAATGATAGATGGAAGCCAAGGGGAAAGTGTTTCAAGAAGACAGAGGCTCTGGGATGTGTCACATGCCGCAGAAAGGTTACAGAAGAAGGAGACAAGTATGTCTCCTTTTATTTAGCAAAGAGGAGGTTATTGTGACCCTAAAGAACAGTTTTAGTGAAGACAAGGGTCAGAAGAGTGAATAAATATGAGGGGAAAAAGAATTTGGTTGTAAAGTGGGAATAAGCAGGGTGATGGCTCTAAATAATATGGGGAAAAGAGAAAATGTGCCAAGATGGATGTTAAAGCTGTAAAAGAGAAGGCAAAATAAATGAACAAGACTGCAGAGGTGGGAGGAAATCAGGAGACTATAACCTTATGCAGCAGGAGGGAGGCCCCTTGTAAAGAAAAAGAGGGAAGTAAAAAAGTTTAGATGTGAATGAAAGACTAGTTTATAGGTGTGGTGGCAGGAAGTTGAAAAGAGTTTGTGGATAAAGAAGGCTTCCCTGGTGGCACAGTGGTTGAGAGTCCGCCTGCCGATGCAGGGGACGCAGGTTCGTGCCCCAGTCTGGGAAGATCCCACATGCCCGCGGAGGAGCTGGGCCCATGAGCCATGGCCACTGAGCCTGCGCGTCCGGTGCCTGTGCTCCGCAACGGGAGAGGCCACAACAGTGAGAGGCCCGCGTATCACAAAAAAAAAAAAAAAAAAGAATTCCATCATCTCTGTGTTGTAAATAGCAAGCAGGAGAAAGGGGCTGGAAGGTTGAGATTTAAGGAGAGGGCTTGAAAGAGCTACTATAAAGAAAAGGAGCAAACTAACTTACGCTTTTCTGAACCTTTAAAATGTTCAACAATTAGCATGCATTATTGTAATGGGAATAGAAGTTTCTATTTTGAAAAATAAGCAGCCAATATATTTCAGAATGTATTTTATACAAAAATAATTAAAATGAAAAAAAATGTTGAGTGTGTTAAGAGTTAATCCCTTAGAATTTAGGAAAAGTTAGCCATTCATCCTTGAACAGTTAAGGCTTGTAATATTTTATTTACTGCTATTTTGTAGGAGGTATTAGATTTATTTATGAAGTCCCATGAAGTAATCATAGAGAAGTTTCCTACTTGTTTTTAGAAGCAACGTTTTAACAGACAATACTGTATAAAGATGGAATGGATTTCCTTAAAAAGTACTGATGTTTAAATTACTGGACAGCCATTTAAGGTACTTTTCAAGTATTAGTAAGTTTTCAGAGATAGTTCTTAAATATAGTAGTAAACATTTTAGGCTTGCAGGCTCTTGGCTGTCATAGTACTCAACTCATCTATTGTAGCTCAAAAGCAGCCACAGAAAATATGTAACCAAAGACATGGCTGTTCTCCAATAAAACTTTATTGCAAAAACTGGTGGCAGGCCCACAAGCTATAATTTTCTAGCCCCTGGTTTAAGTTTTCAGCTATCTGATGAGGAAGTTGCTAACATCCTTAAACTCTTTAGTTTTATCATCTATAAGTAGAGTAACAAAGCTACTGATTTAATGAGGTAATCATATGTTATATTAACATGCCCTGTACACCCAACACATTCAACAAATGTGAGTTCCCCTTCTCTGTATTTGGTAGTGTGAGGCTACAGTGCTCACATTCCAGAAGATCACAGAAGTAGAGAAGAGAGAACATTCATGGTGTGGAAAGTAAATGCTTACTTATTAAAGACAATGACTCAAAAATAATTTTGCTAATTTCTTATGAACAAATTCCAGGTCTCAATTATCATCTGATTTCAATTTCTTGAAAGATGAAATCCAACAATGTTTTAGAAATAATTTTCCTAGGTCTTTAAGGTTTAAGAATCTCACTTTTAATATTTAATGCAAAACAATAAACATAAATTTAGATTCTTTTAAATCTTGGTACTGAGGAACTTAAAGATTTACAAATGTAATAAAATTCCAAAGGACTGTGATGCTGTACACTAAGTTCTAGGGAGAATAGCTTTCTCTGCTTTTGTTCTGCTACTACATGCCATTTTCTGCCTTATAGCTCAGTAAGATAGACACAAGTCGATTAGACAATTCTGAAACTATAGCTGGAAAGTGTTTTTTTTTTTTTTTTTTTAAATAATCATAGAATGAAGAGTTGATAAACCTTTATTTATTTATTTATTTTTTTTGTGGTATGCGAGCCTCTCACTGTTGTGGCCTCTCCCATTCTGGAGCACAGGCTCCGGACGCACAGGCTCAGCGGCCACGGCTCACGGGCCCAGCCGCTCCACGGCATGTGGGATCTTCCCGGACCGGGGCACGAACCCACATCCCCTGCATCAGCAGGCGGACTCTCAACCACTGCGCCACCAGGGAAGCCCTGGAAAGTGTTCTGAAGCCCACAGGAAGTCTACAAAGTGAATAATCAATAAATTGACTATATAAACAAAGATTTTTTGAAACTCACCATCTCTATTAGTTTCCCATTCTACATTTTCTTCTTCACTTTCTGGAGTTCTCTCCTTAGTGATTTTTATGTCTTCCTTTTCCCTATGTCTCCCTCTTGAAGATTCTTTCTAAAAAGTACATACATACATATGGGTTATTATATTTATAAAAACTACATGAGGTAGTTACTATAATACCGAATATTTCTAACTTCATCTTTGTTTCATTAAAGAATCAGTCTTGCAAATAATTACGCATCCACTAAGTAGAGGAAGTAACACGTTCTAGAGTATCACGATGAAAAGACTGTACTATTATCTATTTTACTAAAGAACGGCAACTTGGTAAATGTTTGAAGTAACTAAGATTTTAAAAGATACAACGAAAACTGAATAATAAGCATTTGGTAGTATACTACATACTCAGTTTCTACGTGAAAATTACAGGGGTAAAGTTTAAAACGGATAAAGTACAACTGGAGGAATTGTAAGTGACTATATTTTAAAATGACTTTAAAAAGGTTACACCGTTCACAGTAGATTTTCAAATATAATTGCTGATCTAAGACTTGTCATATACTAACGTAAAAGCATTTACCTACACCTAAAGATAAATCCAAACTCATCTAATAATTTTATAAATGCTTTAAAAGGGGAGATTTTCCCTATTTTGATGAAACCAAAATGGTAACTAAAATAGTTAGAAAAGTTACCTTTACATTTCAGCTAAAAAACAAAAAGTTTTACATTTTATTCCAGGTTTAACAGTAGCCTATATAGACAAAGCAGGACAACAGGGATTCAGCTCGTAAATATCCTGTTACATAAGATGAAGACTCTAAACCACATTTTACTAAGTGGTAAGAAAATAACCAGCGTCATGGAATTGTTATCTTCCCCCCACCATGTCTCACTTTTATTAACACTAAATCCTGACTATGAAAGACACTAACACACAAGGACATTAAGTGCTGAGAGTTCTTTCTGGGCATTACCAGACATAAAATTTGGCTGCTTAAAACACAAATTAATTTCTCTTTGTCTTCTTTTTAAAGAACTCTAGCATATAACTGCCCCTAAATTTTACTTATTTAGGTATGAAGTCATGTTGTAAGTATTACTGCTAAATGACATATATAGTTGCTGGTACGACAACAGAGGCTGACAAATATCATTAAAAGATTATATAATTGTATCAGCCATGACAAAACGGTAAGAGGTCAAAAAAAGAGAAAGAAAAAAGAAATGCACTCCTATTTGTACATAAGACAAAGGAGAAAAAGGAACACAATCTATTTTTATTCTTAAAACACATTTTGTGGAATATCTATGAAGAGCTATTCTATATCCCAGGTAACTTTTGAATGTTCTGTAGATTACACCCACTATAAATATACATTAGTATGTGCTATATCAAAAAATTTTCATAGAAAGTTATCTCCAAATTACTGAATAATATATTCTGGGTTTTTCTGTCTATAAGGTATCAGACTATATTTGTCTATATGTAGTTGTAATACCAACTACAAATGTAGTTGAAAAGGGTTTCAGAGCAGTAATTCTGGTACCAGAAAACAAAATAATCTGCAAGTTTGTAACAATATTTTTAACAGATTTAGAAACAGATATAATAATCTCAATAAATTTCATTAATAATTTATGTATTTCATAATATTTACCCTACATATTGAAATTATATAATTTTTGTATTACCTATTGTTTTCCAATATGACTCTAATACTGCCCCCAGAGATCACATATAACTTCTATTATTAAGTACTAGAGATTGAATGCAGGCTTCAATATGTGGTGGAATTTCAAGTTAGGAGATATGTTTTTTCCTAATACTTTGTCACTATCCCACCTCAAATCATAATAGAGGAAATTATTTTGATAACACCTAAGGCTTAGGTCATTTTTTTAAATGTTGTATTTCCTCATTTTTCCACTTCAATAGTGTATAACTTGTTTAGGCATGTTATTCCTTGTAAAATAAGATTATTTCCCTCTTTCTCTGATCATATTCAAATATAAAGGGTCTGGTATTACTTGTCTCATGTAGTACAGCATGGTCTGCTCTTTCACCTTCCTGTAATTTCTTGAATAGAATGGACTATCATCTTACTGCTCTTATATGCAAACATATTAATTAGGGGTACAACCGTTTGATTATTACGTATTCTAAATTAATCATTCTGGAACATGTACATGTTGAAATACTTGTTGAAGAACCGCAATATTTTAGCCAGTACCCATGGGATGAGATATTTTATGAAGTCAGAATTATTTGAATTTCAAAATATATTAAGTAACAACGCCAGTAGGGTCTGGAGCAACAACCTATAATCAAATATACTGATATTTTTGCAGCAAAACATGAATTCACCAACTGGGTAAAGACTGTATAATAAGCTTCATATCAACTAAAATCAGGTTTTGCTGCCAAATAAGTCTATGCCTAACTTAGGAAAAATGTTTGGTTTTAAAAGTCTCTTACATTTCAGCAATGCAATAAATAATTGTGAACTTTACTTTCACTTTATTTCTACTTTATATTACACTCACATTTATTTCTTAAACATTATATGTATGGACAGATTATATTTATTATAAATTTTATTTTTAGCTAGTAAGGCGGCATTACCAAGAATACGATCTAAAAAGAAGTGTTGAGGCAAAAAGAATTGAAAACCAATATTAACTGGATCAGCAACCACAATAATAAAATGTTAGGGGTCTTTGAAGTAATATAATTCAATTTCCTACCCCATGCTGAAATTTTTTTCCTAAATATTGTACAGTTATAGAAGTCCTCTAATAGAATAATTTCACGGAAAAAAAGATTTACTCCCAAGGTCTCCATTGATAGCTCTCCACTGTTGCATTCTTTGCTCCCATTTTCAGAAAGTTCTAAATATTAGAAAATTATTTCTTATACTGATCACAACTCTTGTATACCTCTCCAGAATTTCTATTGATTGGAACTAGTTCTGACCTCTAGAATCGTGCAAAACAAATCTAATAATTCTTCCACATGATAGCTACTTAAATATTTCAACACTGTCACTAAATCTCTTCAATATCTTCTTATATCAGGCCAAAGATACTCTACACACTGATCATACATGAACATTTAACAATTTTCATACCCTTCACTACTCTGTCATCTTCTCTGGGCACACTACTTTGCCATTGTTGCTTCAATAAAACATGATAACTAAAATTAACCTAGTCCTGCCAGAGCAGCATAGAGCATATAGCTTCCACCTCTCCTAGTATAGAACTGAAATTATTCTTGCATTAATGAACTTGTTTTGGGGGGGGGAGTTTGGGGTAGAATTTAAATAAGAAACTATAATCTTATAAGCTATATAAATTTAAATTATAATCTCACATAAAATGAAGTCTAGAAATAGGGTAAACTTCAGCGCTGGGTGATGTAGTAACACAGTGAAATCACTGGAGACCAAATTTTCTTGTTGTTTTTTTCCTTTCTTACAGCTCTGCTGTTCCTACTGTTGACTTCACATTAAGGCATATTTCTTTTACCATGATGACAAGCAATCTAGGTTCACCCAGTGTGTGCTTCTCTCCAATCACAAAATAAGAATTTTTTCTTTCAGTCTGAGTAGGCCAACTTCAGTCACATGGCCACATCTGAATCAATAACTGATAGCAAGATAATAGCCACAGGCTAAATGAATTAGGCCTGGTTCCTGAATCAACAGAATTAGCAAGGAGAATGGGATTATTATGACTAGACTAGACTAATGAGGGTCTAGCAGTGAATCTGGGGTCAACTCCCCAAACCAAAATGCAGCTTCAAAATGAAAACAACCGAATGGATTCTGGGGGGTTCAAAGTAACTTATACTATACCTTTGGTACTACACTTCACCTCCTCAGAGTACAATGCCACACTTCTGACAACTGCATAGGCCATAAAAAAAAGACACTTTCCGACCTAGTAAACGTTTTCTCTGTTCACCTTTACTGTTGCATTTTGGACCTGCCTTCTAAGGTCATTTTCCATCGTCCTGATGTATATCCTTTTAGACATTCTCTGAGTAATGAAGGTCTCCTGGTAGTCAACACTCTAAGTTTTACCAGAAAGCTTCTTTATTATATCCTCATTCTTGAAAAGCAGTTTTGCTGGGCTCATAACTACAGGTTCATACATTCACTTCAGCTTTGAAAATATCATTCCACTGTATTTTGGCTTCCATTATTGTTACTGATGGTATCAGTCTATCGCTCCTTTGTAGAAAGATCTGCCTTTTATCTCTGGGTTTTCCAATATTCTCTCTACACCTCTCATGTTTTGCAGTTATGATATAAAATCTACTTGATATGTATTGTGCTTCCTGCAGGCTTATAGCTCATCAATAATGGAAAATTCTCAGCCACTATTTCTTTTAATACTGCCTTTCCCATTTTCTACTTTTTTCCTGGGATTCCAATTAGAAGTACATTAGGTTTTCTAAGTTTTTCCTCCACATTTGTGAACCTCTTCAATATTTTCTATAACGTTGTTTTTATGTGCTGCATTCTGGATAAATTCTTCAACTCCATCTTCCAAGTCACCAGTTCTCTCTTCAAAGATGGGCCCAAGGCTTAGTGTCTGACCAGCTCTAATACCTGTAAAAGTCTTAAAGTCACTACCGGCTTTCACACTTGCTGCTCAATCCTTGGTTTCAACTCTGTCTTTGTTTTGCTGCTGTTTACGTTCTTGAGAAAGCACGTCAAACCCTTCTTCCAGCAGCTCGAGTTAAAGTTAATGTTAATCCAAAGTTTTCTTCTGTCATTTACTATCACATATTATATCAAAGCTATTAACAATTCAAAAAGCTATTATTAATTTTTAAAAGATTATGGTTCTCACCTTAATGTTTTCAAAACTTTTCAACTGGACACTTCCGATCAAGGCTAAAAACTTTTAAATAATGAACAATGCTTATCGTGGTTTTTTGGCCTGAATATTAGCCCAACCACTTAGCTCAGTATATAGCTTTTAGGACAGATATAACTGACATTTTGAAATTTTAAAATGATTCACAGATGTGCAATTTCAGATCCTTTCAACACTATAAAAACACAGATGGTAAAGAAACTTAGATCTACACTAAGGAA